GATGAGGTAATGCTGCTTTGAATTATCAATCACATCTCAAAACCACTAGGAGTTTGCTATTTACAAAATTCCAAATTTAGTAAATTGCATGTTCATGTTTCTTAAGTATGAGGATATTAGATCTCTGTTCTTAAAGCAATTAGTTTTATTTCTTATGGTTAATATCTTTATTTACTTGGATAGAATTTCTTTAGTTTCATGTCTTATTGTAGTGGGATATGATAATAAAAGCTATTTTTTATATTTGTGTTGAAATCTGTGCCTGGTTTTATAGTGCTTCTATGTCTTCTTTCCTAAAGATCATTTCTCTTGTTAATGCTCAAATCTGTATCTTGCAAATGCCTTAATATGTAGGAATTTCTGGCTGATAATTGCATTTTAAGGTTGGATGCTTAGGTCAGTCATGCTTTCTAGGATGGAGACCTTGTGTTTTATTTAAAGCAAGCTTTGGAAAGTTAATTTCATAACTGTATTCACATTCTTGAAGTGGAGCTTTACAGTGGAGTGTGTTCCACTGGTTAATAATTTAGAAAAGTGACACAAGTAAATTGGAATTGGCAAAGACAAGAGTCAAGGTCCCCGGGACCAATAGAAATTTTTGAATTCTCTAAGCAGATACAATCTTTTTGTTTTAAATATATGGTGGGACAGTGACCCAGTCTTTTAACTGATACAGTACCTAATACTTTCTTTTGTTAATAATAGTAACGAATAGTGAATAGTTTGAGGCCAAGAGATTGTTTCTTTTAAAGACTGTATCCTGGAGACATGATATTTCTGGCTGCAGGCTGCCTCTCTTCTGAAGTCAGTGCATACTTTCAGCATTTGGATATTTATTATCTTTGTAAATCTGAGCATATATATAATTACATTTCTCTATGATCCAGCTGTTCCCTTTTGTCATTATAGCTTTACTTAATACACTTTAGATATTTGCACATGATTTAGATTTAATTTCCTATTGCCCTTTCCTCTCATGTTTTATAACAAAATTAGGGAAAGAAAAGAAGAGATGAAAATCTATGTGAAGTTTTTCTTTTGTTTCATAATAGAAATGAGAAGGGGAGACAGAAGTGATTGTTTCTTTCTTAAATTCAGGAATTGCTTCTGTGAATGAGGTTACTTATTTTGAATGAAAAAGAAAAGATATGGGATATTTGGTGGAAGATCCTCATAGGACATCTTATTTCCTAAGATTAGGCATCTAAAAAGTCTTTCCTCACTCAGGCTACTCCCTGAAAAACAGCTTTGGGAATATGTCATAAAGTGGTACCAGCTTTGTACCAGACTTTAAAACACATGTGCTGATTGAGTAAAGTGACAAGTAAATCATAGAGGAAAGAGTGCAATTTGATGGATGTTTAGCAGCGGTTATTTTGGCAAACACATTAGATTATCATATTCCTAATATATGTGATTCCAAGAGTTTATATTGGATAATACTTAAGGGTCATTATGATCTTCGTATCCTTAGAATAATGTGATGAGGAGTATAGTTTTAATTTTTCTTCTGACCAAGAAAGAAACTGTGGTAAGCTATCTTGCTGGGTCTGTTGATAGTTTCTTTCTACCTTTAGCACTGATTGAATGATATTAACAAAGTCTGGTGTTTTCCCTGTGATTTTAGCTGTGTCTGAAACCAGCTCACATCATTCTTCTATCAGAAACAAACTGTTTCTTTTAATATGTGGCCCCAACGAGTATCCCTCCTGGGTTGTATCACAAGGAAGAATAATCTTCCCAGTCTATTCCTGCCTGAATTCCCATAGAATATTTTAGGCATGTCAGCTGTTTGGGCTCTGATCAAGGATTTGATCCAGTTGGCCTCTAGCCTGAATTGAGAGTGTGTTTGAAAAGCTTAAGCTTCAGCCACAACATTTGGTTTCCAGAGTTAGAACCATTACTTTGTGTCTTCTCCCTCTTGTGCCTTCAAAAGGATTTATGTAACTGAGAAAAGGTGATGATAAAGTAGATGCTTTTTATTAGTAAAAGCAGGGTGAAATTTGATGAAGTGGTAGAAGGGTCATGTTGATATATTTGTGGTTGTGGGGGTGTTTAAAAAATTTGGGTTGGTGTCATTTATCTTGTAATTCCTTGTATCTTTTTAGCTACCCACTAGTCTTCTATCCCCTTCCTATCCATAAGTAAGGACGTATACTAGGGCAACTTAAAATAGGAAGCTAGAGATCCCGACAGGTCTAATTAAAGGAAAAAGAAGCCCCAAGAAAAATACATATCTGCAGAGGAAGCCAAAAATGCAAAGGACTAGTTTTAGATATACATCATGTGCAAAGAACATTGTTAGAATAATTTAGGGTAAGAGAGGAATTATAAATAGACCTGATAGGTACTTTTTATCTAAAACATGGTTCACCATTGGTCATTGGCAAAACTAATATACAAGACTCAGTATTACCTAGATTCTAAACAATGACTTTCATATACAACTCATCTGTACTTAGTAGATAAACTAGTGAAAGCATAATTGATGTACATAATCCCTTTAGAGAAAGGAAGTGTTAATCTATAGCATTACAGAGATAAGGAGCTAAATATCAATACTGGCATTAATTCTCAGGATTTAGTTCTCAGGAACTAAGGGTTTTATAGAGCTAATCTAGTGTGCATAGCACACCAAGATAAGTAATGATTTTTCCTATTTTTCAGAAGATTACTAGTTCTTAATTCAAGAGCCTATTGATTTTAAGTCCTTGATTAAAATATTTCTAAGCAGGGGCACCTGGGTGGCTTAGTCAGTTAAGCATCAGACTTTCGCTTAGGTCATGATCTCGCGGTTCGCAGGTTCGAGCTCTGTGTCGGGCTCTGTGCTGACTGCCAGCTCAGAGCCTGGAGCCTATTTCAGAGTCTGTATCTCCCTCTCTCTGACCCTCCCCTGCTCACGCTGTCTCTCTCTCCCTTTCTCTCTCCTAGAAATAAAATAATAAAAATTTTAAAAATGTTTAAAAAAATAAAATATTTCTAAGCAAATACTTGATTTTTTTGGTCTGCGTTTAAAATTCATGCATACATTCTGAGATGAGAGGAAAAGTTCTGTGTTAAAATTTAAAATAGTAATATATGAGTTGCTGAAGAGTCAAAAAAAATTATGGGGGACCTGGGTGGCTCAGTCAGTTAAGTGTCTGACTCTTGTTTTCAGCTCAGTTTATGATCTCACGGTTTCGTGGGTTTGAGCCCCACAGTGGGCTCTGTGCTGGCAGCATAGAGCCTGCTTGGGATTCTCTCACTCTCCCTCTTTTTTATGCTCCTCTGCCACTCATGCTGTCTCTGTCTCTCTCAAAATAAATAATCTTAAAAAAAAATGTTTTTTAAATATCATTGTCTAGGTCAGCGGTTCCCAAACTCCTCAGTATCCCATCAGTTAAAATATAGAACATTCGTTCCTTCATGTACTCTTGTCCTTATTTATATATAGTAGAAAACATAAATTCAACATTTTTAAACGATGAGCTAAGTTATCAGTAGAAGGAAGACCTAGAATCTTTTTGTGCCCAGTGGAGTCTTCTGTTTCCCCTGGTATAGTGTGTCCTCTTTGGAGGTTATTGACCTGTACATCATTAATAGGGGAGCCCAGACCAGCATCTTTATTTTTAACAAGTTTTCTAGGTGATTTGTAGGATTCTCATTTCTCATAGTTACTTATAAAATGAAAGCAAAGAAAAGGTTTTACAATAAGAGAATGAACCATTAAGTGCTTTTGCTATCAAGCTGGGGATCAGATGGAAAGCATATTTTTATTTTCAGAAATGATTAAAACTTACCCCACAATATCATCATGGTTATGATGTACCATGCCATTATATTTTTAGTTTCCCCTGTGTCTTCAAAAATGATTTCTGAAATTTGAAACTGATTATTTCATTTCCTCAAAATCTGATAATTTGTGCTTGCCTGCCAGTAAAGTCCATACTCTGATGTGGCATACAAAATCTTCATGATTTTGACTCCTAACCTTTTAGCTTTTTAAAAAAATATATTTAGTTATTTTGAGATAGAGAGCAAGAGCAGGGGAGGGGGAGAGGGAGAGGGAGAATTCCAAGCAGGTTCCACAGGGTCAGTGCTGATCCCAGTGCGTGGCTCAGGCTCATCAGCCACAAGATCTTGACCTGAGCCGAAATCAAGAGTCTAATGCTTAACCGACTGAGCCATCTGGGTGCCCCTGGCTGCATAGTTTTTATTGCCCTTTCCTCCTCCTCCTGCCCTTCTGGAAAAACCTCCTTTTGCAAAAACAAACAGAAAAGCAAAACCAAAACAAACTTCCTCGGCTCCAGCCACTGTAAATGTTTTATAGTTTACTATAAACCTTGTCCTGGCTTGCCTTTCTTGCTTTGTACAATTGGAAAACTTCCACTGACTGCTTAAGATTCAACTCACACATCTTTTCGGCCCCCAAAGAACTGGTGCTCTCTCCTATGTCTTAATGTATAGCAATTATTGAATTGCTAAACTTATGTGTGTATAAGTCTCTCTCTAGGCTGAATTTCCTCAAGGAAAATAAAAGTTCCATGAGGGCAGGTATTCTTTGTTCACTGCTGTATCATGTACCTTGTTTGGGATATAGTAGGCACTCAGTGTTTGAATGAATCTATATATATTTATATCTTTAGTATCTGGCACATGGTAGGCTTTAAATGAACCTCTGCTTATGAAATAAATTACAAATGAATGAGTGAATATATTATAAAATCTCAAGCGTCAACTTATTTGGTGGGTCAGACTTAGGAAAGGAGAAATCTCCTCTGAAATCTTCAGCACATGGCATTGTTAATACCAAGGTACAATAAGAAAATACGTGTTTCTTTATATAATTACTGATTTCACTTATGGTATAAGAAGGACTTGAATAATTTTTGTTATGAATCTAAATATTGGTACCTAAATGAAAAAATCTAGAAAGATAGCCAATTCTATTAAATTAGGAATTTTTTTTTTTGGTTTGTCTCAGTATTAATTCAGATATTATTTTTTGCTCCTTGTTTTAGGGTGTTTGTGAACCGAAGTTTAGCCATGGAAAAAATAAAGTGTTTTGGTTTTGACATGGATTACACACTTGCTGGTGAGTAGCACTTTTTGATTGCTTAAGAACTACTGGTTTAGATATAACACAGTGGTTCTACAGCAGGCAATTAATAAATGCTTGTTGATTTAATCATATATTTAGCTACCAGAAGTTCTTGTTATGAAAGCTCCTTCCATTGATATTTATGAATATTGAAATTACCAGTTATCCTTGAGATTTAGATAGTAAAGATATGTAGAACAGTATTAAATTATTTTAGAGACCCTGGTAAGAAATAATACAGTGAAATTATACATTAGTGTGTATATTAGAGCACTTCTGACTTTTACTTTGTTAATCTGTTCTTCAAGGATGGAATTTTGTATATTTTGCTCTACCCAAGGAAAACTTTTATCAGTTAAAATTTTTAATGTTATTCCTAAGTCAAATAGATTGCAAATATACTGTATAAAGACTTTTTTAAATTAGAACTATTCATTTTATTCATTATCAGATAGACTTTAAACACAGCACTGTGCTGTTTCTCCTTTCCTGTCTCTGAGATATATTTAAAATAATGTATTAGTCATTAGTTGCAAGATTTTTCAGAACTTAACGATGTTTTTATTGAAATATTTGGAATCTGGTGAAAATGTCGTTTAATTTAAGAAGTAGTCGGGGTGGAAGACTGAGTTGAATGCATGTTCATATACGTATGTGCATGCATGTGTGTATTGCCACAACACTTGGAAAAGAATCTTTCATAAATTTTCTCTAAAAAATACTGTCTTCACACAAAAATCTTAAAATGTATAAATTCACTTATCTTCAGAAACCCTTTCTATAACAGTATTAGAAAACTGAGTTTGATCTCAAATTATATCTCAATTTGATGTCAGTTTAGGCTAGTAAATGAATAATAATAAATATATGCTATAATAATATAATGCAAAAATGAACACATGAAGCTTATAGGTAATTGCCACATAGATGTGGCCATGACTTCTACCAAACAACTTATATATTAAAAATATATACTGACTTGGTTTGAAGTTTCCTTTCTTTCCTTTATATTCTTTCTTATTTGATTTTCTGTTGTCTTACAGTTGTTTTTGTAGTATTTTTGTTCTTTTATATTTTTCTAATTAGACACAGACATTTTTAGGAGCACTTGTCAGAAAGCAGGTGGAAATACTGTACTTTCTCAGGGTAGATGTTTTGGTCCAAATTGGGAGAAAACCCTGCAGTCTCTCCCCTTTATAGAAGTTTACCTTTCAAGGGAAAGGATTGGTGAGATATTACCTAAAACAGAAATAGAAGTTAATGGGGTCAAAAGTGACAGATTTTTTCCCCTTAGTTATTAAGACAGCCTCATTGTATTGAAATAGCTTGATTAGTGTTTATTGAAAACCTGTAGGTTCCAGGCATATTTTGTTACTGAGCATTGAGATAATATAGTTATTCCCACAGAATAGTGAAGAAATTAATTTTCTTGTATAATGAAAAAGTTACTGAACCTTAGTCTCTAAACTTTAAAGATACCTTATGATTTCTTCTTTTTATTTGCTTTTTTTGTGTTTTTGTAATCCATTTCATATTTTAATGCTTACTCTTAGTGTAGACACTAATATACTTATATATGAAGATAGTAGGAATTATTAACAATTATTAAGTGCTTATTATATGCTGAGTCCTGTTCTAAGTGCTGTATATAGATTATCTCCTTAATACATAAATTATCTCATTCACGTCATTTATGTAATATTTATAAAAATCGTATGAGGCAGATACTGCTATTGGCTTCATTTTACAGATGATAAGACATTAAGGACTTTGCAAGGAAGTTTAGTTGCGATATAGCTGAACTGAGATTCAAACCTAAGCATACATTTGTATGTATGAGTGAGTATAAACACACATGGATATATGTATATGATAAGTTTAAATTATCATTTTGAATAATGACAATTTATAGTGAGGTATAATTTCAAAGTGCTAAGCTCCTCCCCTTAAACAAACAAACCAGGAATTAAGTAAGCACTCAAAAGGACTACTTTGAAGTAGTCTCCCTTGAGAGACTATACATTATTTCAACAATTGAGTGTTGGATGAAAAACATTGTTAGTCTTCTTATGATGCTGGCTTCATAAAGCACATAGGAAAACAAGTTTATTGGCTTTATACTGTCACCTAATTTCCAGAATTGTATATCTCAAATTTATCTGAGGATAACTTGTTATTTAAAAAACCCCATGCCCTTGAGGTGCTAAGGACTTTAAACCAGAAAAATGTGTCATGAAGTATGGAGGGAAGATTAAAAGAAGTGTTGTTTGAAAGCTTTGAGTACATTGGGATAAACATCCCTGGAATAAGTGTAATAGCCTCACAGGATAAGTTCTTAGAAAGGGTCTATATTTCTTTCTGAAGCCTCATCTGAGACTTTGTCTTCTCTGTAGTCTTGACACCTTGGTACATCCTTTCCTAAGACCAATTTATATATCATTTGCAGCTCTTGATTGCTTGCCTGTCTCCTCATTGGACTATGAGTTCTTCAAGGGCAAGGGCTTTCTTTTTCACATTAATATCCTATGTGTTGTCAAACCTGGAATGTAGTAGGTCTCGGCAAAAATATATATATTGAATGAACAATTTGGGCACATGAGTTTTAATATGTCTGTTTAAGAACTAACCACTGTACTTTATTAAAATAAAAACTTAAATAAATTAATTAAAAAACTGTAAAAAAAAAAAAAAACCTAAATGTGAGACCTGAAACCATAAAAATCCTAGAAGAGACAACAGCCAATCTGACATTGGCCTTAGCAACATTTTTCTAGATAGTCCCCTGAGGCAAGGGAAACAAAAGGAAAAATACATGTGATGGGGATTACATCAAAATAAAAAGCTTCTGCACAGCAAAGGAAACAGTCAACAAGACTAAAAGGCAGCCTACTGGATGGGAGAAGATATTTGGAAATGACATCCAATAAAGAGTTAGCATCCAAAATATATAAAGTACTTATAAAACAACATCTAAAACACAAATAATCCAATTTAAATGGGCAGAAGACAAGAACCACATTTCTCCAAAGAAGACATACAGACAGCCAACAGACACATGAAAAGATGCTCAACATGACTCATCATCAAGGATATGGAAATCAAAACTACAATGACATATCACCTCACACCTGTCAGAATGGCTAAAATAAAAAAACCAGAAACAACAGGTGTTGGCAAAGATGTGGAGACAAAGGATCCCTTGTGCATTGGTGCAATGCAAACCTGTGCAGCCAGTGTGGAAAACAGTATGAAGGTTCCTTAAACTTAAAAATATAACCACCCTATGATCTAGGAATTGCACTACTAGATATTTACTCAGAGAATACAGAAACACTAATTCAAAGGGATATATGCACCTCTGTGTTTATAGCAGCATTATTTATAATAGCCAATTATGGAAAACAGCCCAACTGTCCATCGACTAATGAATGGATAAAGAAGATATGGTATATATATACAATGGAATATTATTCAGCCATCATTAAGAATGAAATCTTGCCATTTGCAATGACATGGATGGAGCTAGAGCATATAATGCTAAGTGAAATAAGTCAGAGACAAATATATGATTTCACTCATATGTAGAATTTAAGAAACAAATAAGCAAAGGAAAAAAAAAACCAAGAGACAGACTTTTAACTTCAGAGAACAAACTTATGGTTACTGGAGGAGAGGAGGATAAAGGAAGGGATGGGTAAAATAGGGGATGGGGATTCGGGATTGTACTTGTTATGATGAGGGGCAGGGGCTTCTTAGGGCCAGTCTTACCACTTGGGTCCCAGGGAAACATGATCGGCACTTTGTTGCCCAGCACACTTTGAGCAGCACATGGTGTACAGCAGTGTCAAGGTAGTAGTTAACAGGGTCCCTACTGTGTATCATAAGGCCATCCACAAACTTCACGGCTTAGCCCTCTTTCCTCAGCGTTTCCCGGACACCACGACCTCACGACTTTTGGCCCCACTCTCCATGATGAATCGCAGCACACCATAGCAGGCCCTCCACACAGGGATGCCTCCCAGGAGTTTGTAATGCAGAGCCTGTGCCTGGGCAATAGCACATAGACCTCTTGTGGCCGCTTTTTCAGCGTAAAGCCCTGCATTGCCCTCAGGGAAACCAAATCTCTTTTGAACCACAGCAGTCAATTCTTGGATCCGCCGGCCCCTCTAACCCAGAACATTCTGCATCCTGGTGGCCGAGATAATGATTTCTGTCCTGGTTGGTGTAACTTGGACCTCAGCCCCAGAGTAGCCATCTTCAGCCAGCTCCCAAGTGAGAAGCTCATTCAGTTCAGCTTTGAAGATGCTGTCAGCAACAAAATTCATCTTGGAAATTTGCACCACCATCTTGCTGCTGTGCACTGCCAAAAGGAGAGACCCAAGTGGAATACTTTCAAATATAAACTTACTTTTTAAATTTAAAAAAAATAATAAGTTACATACGATAAAACACATGTATTTTAAATGTACACATTTAGCTTGACAAAATGTATATGTGTGTAACTACCACCACAATTAGGATAAAGAATATTTCCATCACTCCAAAAAGTTCCCTCATTGCCTCTTTGAAGTCAGTTCTTCCTTCTACCCTGGCATTTGCCTCAGGGCTTTTTATCATTGGAGATTAATTTTGCCCTTTTCAGAATTTCATATAAATGGAGTCATACAGCATATACTCTTGTGTCTGGCCTCTTTTTGCTCAGCACAATGTTTTTGTGATTCATTGATGATGTTCTCTCTGTCAGTAAATGGTTCATTCTTTCTTTTTTCTTACTCTCAACATTTTAAAACTTTATTTTGAAATAATTTTAGATTTATAGAAGAGCTCCAAAAATAATAGTTGGCTTCTATTCTCTTATTGTAAAAAAGACTTTTTAAAGTTTATTTATTTATTTTTGGTATGGCTCGAACCTATGAACTGTGAGATCATGACCTGAGCCGAAGTCTAGAATTGGACATTTAACCAACTGAGCCACCCAGGGGATCCAGGTTGTT